GCGTTAATAGTTGACGTAAATGTGTATATTACGTATGGAAATTGTAGGTCATTTATTTTAATTGTCTTTCCAATGCTATAATCTTTTTTGTGATTACTGAATATTATCAGTTACAAATATATGTCAGAAAAAAAGTCTGTAGCAAACGACTAAAAAAGTTGTTTGGCCGTTCTAGGGTTAAGGCAACATTTTTTAAATTCATATCATTGCTAATAAAATCTGCGTTGTTAGAAACAGTGCCTGGAAAATCCCAAACTCCCCTTAATTGCTGTTATCAGCAATCGCTCTCCGCTTTATGGTACAATTTTTTTACAGAGCTCATAAATGAATGCTCATTGTTTACTTGTTGGTTAATACTGCACTATTTCCTTGTCTCCATTATGATTATACTGCCAATACAGTATCATTTTCTTGTAATAAATTATATTAGCCATATTTTGGGGAAATTAAAACATTAAAGTCAGAAAGCCCTCTTCTACTTTAATGAACAGCTGATGTTGATGTGTAATAATTTCAATGTTGAGTTCCTTGACACTAGCGCTGTGGTTCAATAGCATCATCTAGCAGGTGACGGAACTCACTTGAATCGAAAGGGGAACTACTGTTTTGGTAATTTCATCTTTCATTCATTGAAAATAATTCACGAAGCTGTTTCTGCTGAGCCAAAAGGCGTGTGTTCCAGGCCTCAGGTATCACATACTGACGACCCAGTTCTCCCTTCTTTGAGTAGTAACCCGTCGGGAAACGACAACGTGGCTCTACCAATGGTTGTAGAGTAGCACATGTAAATATTAGATCTCTAAATACAGGCTTTGAAGAGCTATGTTGCGTAGTGGATGATTTCCAGTTTGACCTGATGGGAATCACGGAGTCATGGTTATCTCCGGAGACCCCCTCTCATGTTTATGATGTTCCTTTCTATTCTCTTCATCGCAGCGATAGGCCCAATAATTTTGGAGATGGTGGTGGAGGTGTAGCTCTCTATGTAAAGCAAGGAATCAATTTTGTTCGTGTTTGTCTTCAAAATGTTGACAACCGTATTGAATATCTCAGTGGTGTTGTTAATCTCAAAGGTTTGAAGCATCTCATCTGCATTGCATACAAACCTCCAGACGTTCCTTACTCAACCTTGAGTTCCTTAATCCACGCTCTTTACATCGATGAGTCACCAAATGTGGATTCAGTGATTTTACTGGGTGATTTGAATGTGAATCTTCTAGACAAAAATAGGGCAGATGTAAAATATCTTGAGAATTCTTCAATAAATGGGCCTTGCTGAGATCATTAAAGAGCCCACACGTGTTACAGGAAGCTCATCCTCTCTGATTGACTTAATAATTGTTGACAAAGCTCACAATCTAGAAGTAGGAATAGTTGATACTTCCAACATTTTTACTCACAATGGAAAACGGATCACTGACCACAAGCTGACTTACTGTGATGTACCATACAATAAGCCTGAAAGCAAAGCAAAGTTTATTACATATTGAAATTTCAGAGATTTTGATGGCGATAAGTTCATTGACGTTGCTTCCAATATATACTGGGATAACGTCAAGACACAGCACAACGTCAACGACATTGCTAATGTAATAACAACAAATATAATTCAAGTGTTTGACGAATGTGCCCCCATGGTGAGAAAAAGGATAACCAGAAAGAAATCACCTTGGAGAGATTCAAATGTAAAATATCTTACAAATAAAAAGAATAAATGTAAAAATAACTACATGACTGTGAAAACACAGACTTCAAGAAATGCTTACTGCAGAGCCCGCAATGCACTAAATGTGGCCATAAGATTAGCTAAGAGAAATTATTTTTCTGAGAATTTGAATACAAAACAGCCTAAGACATTTTGGGCCACTTTACGAGCTGGAGGTGTAATGAGCTCTGTTGAAGCAAAAGACCATTCTGTTGGACTAGAAGATTTAAACCATTATTTCTCAACTATGGGTTGTAGCAAGACTGTGAGCACCGAAACACTGAGATTCATTAGCAGCAATAAATGTGCAGGGATAAAATCACCATTTACTTTTTCTCCTGTTTCAGAAAGTAAGGTAAAGGATATGATGAACAGTATCACAAGTACTGCATTTGGGGTGGATGGAATATCAATAAAAATGATCAGAGGTTTGAGCCCTTTTTGTATTGGAGCAATTACTCATTTGATCAATGTATCACTGAGCACTGGAAGTTTTCCTTCTAGTTGGAAGCAGAGCGTGGTAGTTCCTCTCCCAAAAACCCTAAACCCTTCTTTGGTTTCTGACTTCCAACCTATTTCAATCCTCCCTGTTATGTCCAAAATACTGGAAAAGGTTGTGGCCGAGCAATTATTGCAATTATTGCTTAAAAAATTTTGACAGGTTTGTGATGGTACATGTTTCAGTGATATGGATTTAACATTTTAAAGTATTTAGTGAATTACAAAGTTAAATTGGACTTGCATGCAGTAAAAACATTGGTGAAGTACTATTCTAGTTACTGAATAATCAATCTTACACTTTATTTTTAAAGTAGTTTGATATTTACTAATTAAAGTACTTACTTTCCAGTATGTAGAGAGGTACATGTTTTTCTAGCCTAATTTTAACTGTATATAATATCATTAATCACACATTACCAAGAAAGCTAAAGTAAAATAACAGATTTTTACTCAAAAATAAACAAATTGAAAACTTCAAGTGATTTTCAGGACACAGTATGGTTTAGTGTATGGTTTAGTAACGAAACCAAAGTATAATCTTAAACCAAGCTTAACAGACTATGATCTGGCCTTTGCAAGTCTAATAAAAGACTTTAAACAAAAGCAGTTCTGCCAACTAATCTGCTCACCCATGGGCTGCGTCCGAGATCAAGTTTCCCCGGAGCGTTTTATGACAAATCTGATCAAATTTCAACAGAAAACTGGGGCTTTGGTTAAGATTGTCATTTGCAAGGAAAATTCAAAAAGAGTTTTTTAACAACGGTTTTAGTCACCTAGAGCTTGTAAATCGTTTAGAAAGGGCAATTTCAGACCAGCATAATCAGCAAAGAACAGCACCCTTAATAACATCAGTGACAGATTTTCCAACACTTCCAGCACCTTCTTCATCAAAGCATCAAAGCTCAATCATGAAGAATCCTGACAACCCCACTCAGACCCCGGACAAAACAACATCTTCATATACTGCACATATGGCTACCTCTGAAGATCAAGACAGGCTGTTATGTTGTTCAACAACAAATCTGGAAGAAAATTTTGAGCCAACTGTCTTTCAAGTCCTGCCCCCAATTGAGGAACCAGTTCTTCACCGTTTGCTATCAGATGTTGAAGCAAATGTCCCAAATGAATCGGAGAGGAGCCTGCCAGCAACATCTACACATCAGCATATTGCACAAAGTATTCCTCCCTCTGGTGTTGGTGTTGTGAGTGTAGTGAAAAAGCAGAGCAGTGAAAGTAAAGTGGTCTTTAGTATTTGTGAAAATAGTAGTAATAAAGATGGCGATTCTAGTAATCTAGATGGTTTCTTAAAAACTGACACACCGGCTGATCCTTTAAACTACTTACTCCAGAAATCGCAAATGATAACGTGATAACTGATAAGTCGTTCTGTTAAACACAAAGAGAAACTAAAATTATTTCATCAAAACATTAGGAACTTAAAAAATGGTATTGATCCTTTGCAAATAACTTTAGAGGAGTTTGATTCGGTAAATTTCGAGTTGCTTCTTGCAAAGCTGAGGTTTTATCAGTTTAACGACATCTCAGTGAGGTGGTTTTCATCGTACTTGACCGGGCGTACTCAATGTACAAAGGTTAATGGACAGTTCTCGTCAGCACTTCCAAGGTTTGTCGGTGTTCCTCAAGGCAGTTGCTTGGGGCCTATTCTATTCCTTATACACACTGCAGATTTGAAAGAAAATTGAGTCACTGTTCTTTACACTCTTATGCCGATGATTTCCAACTGCTAATTTCTTATAAGCCCTCAGAAACAGCTAAGACTATTCGTTGTATCAACAATGATTTAGATAGTGTAAATAGATGGTCGAATGACCATGGTTTGCTATTGAACTCCAGTAAGTGTTCTGTCTTGCTTGTAGATAGGCCATCTTCTGGTGCCCACTCAGTGAATAGTTGTGTTGAACAGTGTATCTTTGTTGATGGAAAACCACTGATTTTAAGTAATATTCTTAAGATTCTTGGTGTCACTCTCGATTCACAACTTGATTTTTCTCACCATGTCAAAGCTATCTGTAAAACAGTAACAATACATTTGAAAACTCTTCGCAGACTAAGCTCAATTTTGCCAGAACTTTCTAAGTTGGAAATTGTCCGCCCAACCATTTTTCCTGTTATATACTATGCTCTTCCTGCTTTTTCCTGTTGCCTTACTCAGGAAAATCTGATGATCCTTACCCGGCTGCAGAACAGAGTGCTTAGATTTGTCTACAAATTGAAAAAATTTGATCACACTAGTGAGCACAGATTGAGTGCCAAGGTGTTGTCAATCATGGGGTACTCTGACTAAAAAAAAAAAAAAAACTGTAAATCTGGTCCACAAAGTTCTTCAGACGGGAAAACCTGAATACCTTAGGAAAAAGTTGGTACATATTTAGACATGAAATAAGTGAATACAGTACTCGACAGGACAGCCTGTTGCACTTGCCAAAGACAAAACTGGAAACGGGGAAGAAGGGGTTTAGTTTCTTTGGCCCAAAAAAATACAATGCTTTGCAACCCACTTTAAAAGAGTACAGTTGTAATAGGTTTAAGAAATGTGTAAATGAAATGTTTACCTAAACTGTATAGATAATTTTATTTTTGATTTTATGAATAGACTATTGTATTGTTTTATTTACTTAATTTGACAAAAGTTGTCATGAAAAACAGAGTTTGTACTTTGATGAACGCTTGCAAATAAAGACCTTATTTATTTATTTATTTATTTAAAGACATTAAAATTTAATATAAACAGAACAACAAAATAAAAACAGTAATGGTCAGTACTCATACAGACCCTGCCCTCAAGGATTGAGGGACTATTTTCACCAAGCAGCATAGCAGTAGCAGCTGTTGCAGCAGCCTCCAGTCCCAGAACTGGAAGATATTCTTTGTTGAGAGACTGGTCTGCTGCCAGCCTAGCCTCCATTTTGCGCACTACAGGCAGAACCCATGGCTTGCCTTCATCTGTGCGGTATGCTGCAACATATCAATATTTATTGTCAATTTGTTGAAAGTCTGGTTCGCCACCACCTAAAGTCTCCATTTTGTGCACTACAGTAAACACTCATGGCTTGTCTTCATCTGTGCAATAAGCTCTGCAACACATCAATGTTAACCCTAGCAGTGGCCAACGAGCGTAATACGCTAGTATAGGCCAAATTTTTTTTAACGGTGAAAAAACCGCTTATAATTAACTCTGATATGAACAATATTTATACCATTCGAAAGATCACATTCTGAACTTTCATTTTATTATATAAACAAACCCTGTAGCAGGTATTTAACAATGTCACGACAATTAGAAATCAAATGAATTTTTAGCGCGGCACGACTTTTGCAGCCGACACTTGGGAACTGTCAAAACACGACTTGTTTGGTATTACCCTGCTCGGGTAATTTTTGTCTTGGGATGTTGCGGGTGGTACCACTGGATAACACTGGATAACCATTGATTTTATCTTCATTGTGGTATTGATATTTAGAAAAGAAATATTGATTGCACAATAGGTACGATTTTATGAAAACAGCTGTTTTTGGAATTTATAACAAATGGCCAACCATGGAAAATACGAATTACATACACTGTAAGTTATTATTAATAGTCATATAATATGTCATTTTGAAGAGGAAGAAATGTAGCTTGTGATAGTGGCAGCCCTGCGCTCAGGGTTATTTCCGTTTTCTCTCAGTAAGATGACGAAAGTGTGTCACTACTGTCAAGGTCTCATACACAAAGTGCCTTGTATTCGCCATTGCGTGTTGTTGTCGGTGAGTTTTCGCTCTCGTTTTATCCATGATTTATTACTAAATTTGTTATTATTTTTTATTGTTAGAGAAACGTGTATGTGTGTGTATATAACAGTAATCTTCATGCCTTTTATTATGCATGAATATTTAATGAATAGTGTGAAATTTTGTTTATAAAAGGTTGTATTTTTCTTGCGGTTGTATTTTGCGATGTTCTGTTTATTTATATTATTATGCCCCTAACTCGTAAAAACAAAACTTGTTACCCAATGTGTTATACATCTTTATTTAGGTAATTGATTACACTACAAGATGATTATGTTGGTTTGAAGTAAAAACATTTGGTACAAAAGTTTTTTACTATATACTATGAATTTTTCCTTGCAAAATTGCTAAAATACAAAAACATTATTTTATTTATAAATAAAAATTATTTTTATCATAAACTTTATGATTTTTTTTGGATTCCTTACTTTATTAGCTTTACAAACATGTATACAAATATATTATATAACTTTTTACAACACAAACTAACACTGCACGGTTTTCAATTTTTTCGGTTCTCCGTTTGTTACTATATTTTGTCCCAAAAACTTATAAAAAAATATTTTTCTAACTTGTTATATATTTCTATGTAGGGAATTAGATTGTCTACAAAATGTTTATAATGAATTTCCCATAAAAAATCTGTAGAAAAAATTTTAACGAGGCTGCTTTTGAAATTAAAAAATAAATTCTATCTATTTCACTTTACCGAAAAAATAAAAAAATACACTGTCTATTACATTACTATTTCTACATTCTCCTATTCTTTACGAGCAAAATGAATATAAGGTTGGCTAGGTTTACTTGTATGGTTGAATTTTTACAAATTTTCAAAAAAAGTCTGCAAAATCGCCAAAATGGGTTGGCCATTCCCCACTTCTAACATTGGCCACTGCTAGGGTTAATTGTCATTGTTGAGGGTCTGGTTTGCTACCATCCTCGCCTCCATTTTGAGCACTACACGAAACACCGATGACTTGCCTTCATCGGAGTACAACGTGTGTCCCTGTTCAAGCGCCATAAAGTATGACGCAAGTTCAGTGTGGCTACAAAATTTATAATAATATCGATGTCTTTCTTGAATACAAAATAGGCCTAGCTTTGTCTTGTTGGACTTTCACTCATGATATGTATATAAGCAAGCATGTGACTATTATTTGTATTTAAGTCATATATGTTTATGTTTTTATATTTGATTATTGCCTTTCTGTTTTTACTTGATTCAATTAAACACTAGTTTTCTATTCTGTCTCAATTTAATTTGATATTCATGAGTTTTAGAGTTAATTCCACACTTAATACGCTTTCCCCTTAAGGTTATGGCCCCAGAGGGTTTTAAACTCATGAATTTAATATATTCCCAAGTAAAATCTTTTTCATCACTCCTTAACGAAAGTAACTATTTTCGATAACAGCTGATATCAATGAAAGTAGTCGTTTCCCAAGCTCTAATTTAGGGCGAGGGAAAATCGATCAGCTGATTTTCCCTCGCTCTAAATTTACTTTCCCTCGCTCTCAATTAGTTCTCCATTTATTCACTACGCGCGCCAGTGTTTTGTTACGGTTTAACTTAATGATTTTAATCAGCTGTATGTATTTTTAAAAGTTGTGTTTATTCTTTTATTTTGATGTTTAAACCAAATTTATTGAGAAATATACGTAGGTTTCTTTTTAGAAGATTTTATTTTATTTTGATGTTCAATCAAATTAATTGAGAAATCAAATTGTTTTAATATACTGAGGTCTGCTATTCTGTGTTTGTGTATTTTTGCGTCGTGATGAAAAGTATCGTTCATAACTCGTACCGAAAGTTATTATCCGGCACTTGCTCCATTATTCCCGTCCTCGGCTTCGCCTCGTACGTGAAAATAGCTCTCACATACTCGGCTTCGCCTCGCACGTGAAATTAAGGTTCCCTGTGTTCGGCTTCGCCTCACACAAAAACTTGGGCGCGCGACGGAAAATGCCACTTTCGGTCCTAGTAATGAAATATACTATTTCAATCTAAATAATTTATCAATCAGCCTAGGTTGAAGGGTTAAGTTTTGTTCTTGTAACATCTCATAACCTTTTCACAAAATGACTAGTACTGTAAAATTACTGAATTGAACCTCTAAACAAAAATACTATGATTCTTGGAGAAAATCTGATATATGGAAACTAGTGATCCCATGCGGCTCAACTATAACATAATAGCAAAATAACATATGAATTTAGAAAACAAACTAGTTGTTTCCAGTTAATAATATTAACTGCATTTAAATGTCATTTTAATAATTTAAATACAATTTTATCTTGTCACTACATAATAATTCAAAAGTCAATACTCAATAGTAGTGTTTTAACAGAGTACCCAATACTGCCTGAGAGAACAGTTAACATTTACATCTTACTTTTGGCATGTTAAAGGTGAAACTCTTATATATGATTTTTTTTCGCAAACACTCTAATAACGTCTTTAACCAGAAGACCTCGGTTTCGTTGTTTTTCACCATTATTTTTAGATAATCAAAAGCGCGGTACGTACAATGCCCCATGTTGAAAGCAGGGCTTTGTCAGATAAGACCAACTTTTTCAAGTGTCTGTCCTTGAATTTTTGTGATGGTCATGGCAAATGCAATTTGGCATTGGAACTGCAGATGTTTGAATTTCAGGAGAAAATTTCCCTCTGACGATTCTAAACTTAATTGGAATAATAATACTCGCTTTCCTGCCGAACTTGCAGTAATCATTTTCATACTTAAGACTTTGTCATTAATCTCTTTCACCATTATTCTGGTTCCATTAACCTTTTTATGGATTTAAATTTCTTAGTAAAATTACAATTCCACCCTTTTATAAACATAACTTGTGAGACATAACCACTTGGTGCTAAAGTGTGGAGAAATTAATCAGGGACATGTAACCGGTCTTCCTCTTCTTGAATCAAAGTGTCCACTGAGTAGTAAACTCTACTGTCATTATTTAGTGGCTTAGCTATTTTATTATTAATTTGGTCACCATGTTCATTCTTTGGTTAAATTATTGCATGATTTTTGTCTTTTTTAAGCAACTTAAGAGAATCCTTCACTGAAGATTTCGTCAATGATATTTTTATTCGCAAAACATTGTGGTGGAAGACTTATCAATGTCTCACCAAGACCATTAAGGTAGCTCTCTTGCCATTCCTTATTCGTAAAAGATATTCAGCAAATATTGATTCCCTTGGATTTGCTCTCATGTTTTTAGCAAGTGAAACATTTTTAAACATTGACCATAAAGGTGATATAATTATTGCATTTTCTACCATTTCACAGCGACTCGCACCAGAGACTATGGTAGCTAATTGCCGGAAATTACCTCCAAAACCATTCCACCAAAAGGCTTTGCTTGGCCTTCTCTTCTGGCGATATGTCGCAGTAATCATTCTGCAGACGATAAAGCATACTTATTGGACATAGAAGCTTCATCCTATAATATTATTTTACAAATATTTAGCTTCGTTACTATTGGATTTTATTCCGGAGACTGAGACTGAATCATTTAATTTTATTGACAATTTAAATCTGTACGCTTGGATCTCCTAAGTCAAAATAGTCTGTTTTGTGACAGCATCTGTCCGTGCAATATGAAAAAAATAATCACACGGTCACATAACATTTCTTTGAATTTCAAAAACCAACATAGGTAGCTTTTCACGATTTATTATCATACCATCTCTGTTGTTAATATGTTGCCGAATCGCAAACACGGGATTGTTTCTTCTAGGTTGAATTTTATGATATCAAAATTAAAAATTGGAAAACACAACACATAAAAATATCTATGAAAAAATTAAACACACCATTATATGAAAATAAAATACAATCACATAATTAAATAGACTGGTTGTTACTCCCTATGAATGAAACTGCATAAATAAACTATCCCATCTCATAAGTTATCATTGTATTTGAAAGTAAACTGATAGGTAAACAGAAAAAGTAAATATTAAAATGACAGAAGGGAAACAGGCTATTTTTATGAAGACAGGTGTTTTCTTTTAAGAAATGAATCATATGTTAGGTAATCAAATTTTGACTTCTATATTTAAAATACATGAAAACTTTAAAGTCCACTGGAGCAAAGCACATCGAACTGAGCGTGACAAAAGTTATTCAATGACTTCTACAGAGAATTCCCTTTAATTTGACACCTTAATCATC